TGATGCAGTAGCCCCATACACGTGCATAGGGTGTCATTCTTGATTTTGACGGTTACATATGGCGGGATATTCATATGGCGATATGCAGCTGACAAATTCACCCATAATGAAATATCCTATTTTAGGAACACATGCAGTCCCTTTGGATATCACTGCACACGAAAGAGTCTCAGGTTTGTAACTGCCAATATCTGTTATTCCAAAGAAACGCAAAACAAATCATAGAACGAAAATTATAGGTATGTTATAATATCCAACTGAAAATGAGGACAGACGTTTGCGCACATATATACTCTTCCCCAAAAGTAGGAAAACCTGAACTTTCAATTTGGATAGGAAGTATAAGCGTTAATTTGTCAAAGACAGAAATCTTATGAACTCACCACCATTTCTCTTTATCAACACCCCTAAACACAACGCATGGGATGCACGTGCACAACGCAGTAGCGCTAGCCCTATGTACGTGCATGGGGTGTCATTTTTGACTTTGACGTTTTTCAAGAAGGTCGATAAATCACAGTAGACCATTAATTTTGACAATCATCTTGCATCACATAGTTGTTAGTGTTTGTTTCTAGCCGTTGATTTAGTTTGAGAATGAAAATCGTACACATGCAAATTTCACTTCATACACCAATCATCTTTCAAGAGTGATTACTATGCAAACAACTATGGTCATAAGGAGGTGCGAGTGGTGATGCACTCTCAAAGCATTCATTATTATCATAACAACATTGATTGATTCCGATATATCTCCCAATGTTTTCAATCGTAAATTGAAAATTAACTTTCCCTACTTGTTTAAGAATATCGTTATAGTATGACCAGAAATTATTGAGAATTTTAGGAATATGTTTAATTGGATTTCTAATATAAACAGCCTTGACCAGCTATCAAGTGCTTGGTTTCATTCAAGAGAGACGACTCCGTTAATCCTTTATCATTAGTTTGTGAAGAGTTATCCCTCTTTGTTTACTTGCTAGCCGACGACATTTTCAGTGATCCTCAGTATTGATGATTTAGAGAAGAGGAAGTTGATTTTAGAGTATTATAACAAGGACATCAGATCAGCTAAAGTGATTTCAAGTAGAACAGGCATCCCTTTGTCCACTGTTTATCGTGTTTTGAAAGATATTGCAAATGGATATGGCATTGAGCACCAGGGAGGCGCAGGCAGGCCCAGAAAATTGACTGTCGGTGACAGGAGGCGGCTTGGTATTCTTGTTTCTAAAAACAAACGAAGGAGTTTAGAAAACTTAAGGCTGGATATGATTGATAGAGGAACTGTGGCTGTCTCTAAAGAGACAATTAGAACTGAGCTGCATGCGATGGGTTGGCAGAAAAGTCGAGGAATTCCATCACCGATCATGAAACCTGAACAAAAGGAGCGAAGGTTGAACTGGTGCTTACAGCATAGAAATTTTAACTGGGACAATATGATTTTCTCAGATGAAAGTTCTGTGTGGCTGTTTCCTAATACACTGAAATTCTGGACCAAACAAACTGAAAAACCTTTGTATCAGCGCCGAAATTTAACGTGTGGGGTGGCATATCTGTGTTATGGGCAACGCCCCTATGTATATTTGAAGGGAATATGAACAGTGAGCGGTACACAGATATTCTCGGGACATTTACTTCCATCTGCTCACGTGTTCTATGAAAATGTTTGGATTTTCCAGCAGGACAACGACCCAAAAACATCGTTCAAAGCATTCACAGGCCTGGTTTCGGACCCAAAATATGACATTATTAGATTGTCCAAGCTATAGCCCTGACCTAAATCCAACAGAAAATGTTTGGGGACTTATGAAGGAAAGTGTCAATAAGAAAAATCTGACAAATATTGCTGAAATGAAAGAAGAGGTGGTCCGCTATTGGGACAGCATGGACCACGACTTTCTTACTTCTTTGATCAGTAGTATGCCCCGCCGAATTGAAGCCTGCATTGCTGCCCATGGTGACTTGACAAAAATACTAACTGTTCACCTGTCTTGGAATCGGGAGTTATGTTCTGCTAATATTCACATTTAATACGTGAGTAATGAGTGAAAAATATAATTTTTTTAACAATCTTTAAATTCTCAATAATTTCTGGTTGTACTGTAGTGGCACCTTCAACCCTGTATCTACAGGTCTGTGTCAGGTTTAACAATATTGAATTATTGAGATCATTTGTTGTATTCATTACAATACAACATGCTTCATCCTCTATTTCAGTGTCGAGAATACCCTGCACATTAAAAACGATAATTCTTTGATCACTGAGCTATTACCGAGCTGGTTAATTAAAGTAAAGATGGTTTAATGGATAACAGACATTATGATCATCGAACCAGATTCCATTTCAAGTAATGGACAATATTTCCTTCATAACCAACGAACCACGATTGTGTAACGCCGCTTTGACTATACAGCATTTCAATAAAAGATATATTCACCTTGACACTAATGGGCCGCTAGAGGTCTTTGGCATATGCAACTTGTGTGAAACCAGAAATGGAGTCGAACGATGTAAGGGTTCTGTTTTACGTAAAGGACTAGCCCTGCACAGCGATGAGTGTGAATGAATGAGTGAGTTCAGTTTTACGTCGCTTTTAGCAATATTCCAGCAATATCACGGCGGGGGACACCAGAAATGGGTTTCACATATTTTACTCAGGTGGGGAATCGACCCCGCTTTAACTACTGGGCTACCCCACCGCCCCATGCACAGCTGATTGTGGTGCTTTAGGTGACGGCAAAGTGGAAAAAATACGGATTTTACGTGCAGAATAAATACGCCGGGTAAAAGCCGTGTAGTTAATAACATTCTTGAACGAGGGATAGGTGATGTGTTATCTTTGTTGCTGCATCCATCAATATTCAACAGAAAAGTCTGTAAATAATCTGGATCAGACCAACCAGATACTGTGAGAAACATACAATGTTACGATGGTAAGCAATAAGCCATGTCAACGAGCCTAAACATCCAACTGGTTCAAGTGAACACTGACAATCAAAGGGTACTTCGGAACAATTCTCTCCGAAAATCCCTCTGAACAACCACGTGGACATATATTTCATTTGGGTATCATGTTACTACTCAATGGAACATGATGAACGAATAAAATTTAAAATGAATACCAAAAGAAAAACACCACACTGTTATTTTAACATCATTCCCACAATGAATTAATCTGGGTATAAGACTGACTGACTGAGTTTAGTTTTACGCCGCTTTTAGCAATATCCCAGCAATATCACAGCGGGGGATACCAGAAATGGGCTTAACACATTGTGCCAATGTGGGGAATCGAACCCGGGTCTTCGGCGTGACGAGCCAATGCTTTAACCACTAGGCTACCCCACCGCCCCCTGGGTATAAGAATTAGTGTCGAATGTGAACACGAGATTAAAACAAATGGGCCGTTGTGTTGATGACTAGCGGCTGTAGTGTGGCCATTGTGGGAAGTATGGTCAGAAAAGTAAAATTTGCTCTGAATTGTGCTCTGAGCAGAGATATCTATTGAAGTTATTGACACATCATACTTGCTTATATAATCAGAACTCAAAAATCACTTTAAAGAACCTTGACAAATATATTCTATTAAAACTGGTGGGTTTCAATTAGTGGAGGTCCGATTAATTGAAATAATCGAAGATTGGTCGCAATGACAAAACGACCAAGCAATCGATCATGTTTTCTCATAATCGAACACAAACAATTCTGGAGCACTTGTTTTCATTAACAACATTTTTCACAAGGTTGGTTTTGTCTGTTACATTTTGGCACCCGTGAAGAGCCACCTCCTCGTGGTGGGTGCTGGGTAACGCTAAGCGCTCTTCAACCCCCTGTTGTGGACCCGGGGGTATATTTGGTCCACCAACCCGTTTGCCGTGGGTTGCGCCCCTGTGTCGGTGGAGGACGGGATTCTGGTGGTTGAGGGCACTGGTTCCAGGAACAGTCTTCCTTTGCCCAACACACCACTTTGGCCCTTACTTCACCTAGACGGGTGGTAGAACTGGCCCGGTTCTATCAATCGGCTGGTCACGCCATGCCCTGTGCATGGACAACATTCAAGTTTATATTAATGTACATTTACATAATGTTCATATTGAATGTTGCATTTCAAAATTATATAATTATATACATTTGCCGAGAGTCCTATGCCAGAAGGCGGTGGCTCATGGGCCAATCTGGTGATAATGACCTCCAAATGATGCATGTCTCTAATTTCTTGTCTTGGGCCGAACCAGTCGGGCATGTAATTGGTAGACAAATGCAGCTATTTGTGTTGTTTTCTCTAGAGTACAACACCCCTGTATCCCAGTGTCGGCATCTTGGATATCCGGTGCTATTTGACACTGTCCCTGTTGACACTCCGTGGTGGGTGGGGAGCAGGGATGCTGAATTTTTTTCATCATGGCACTTCCACTATCTGGTTCAACTAGAAATGAAAAAAAGAGACGCTTAGAGGATTTAGATCTCTCTACTGGACATGTGTCTTCTAACAGTGACTCATGGGCTAGATTTGTTGTTATTGAGGCTTCAGACTTTCTTCAACTTAAACTTAATCCCTTTGCAATTTCAAAGGCCATCTCCGGAATTTGTGGAGAAGTTACAAATGTTACCCGTCTTTGCAGTGGCTCGCTTCTTGTCGAGTGTGCACGGAGACAGCAATCTCTAAATCTGTTGTCGATCAAAACATTTGCAAACATAGATGTTGCTGTGTCTGTGCACAGGACGCTAAACTCTTGTCGTGTCATTATCCGAGACAGAGCACGTTGTCTCGCTGATATGTCAGAGGAGGACATTGCTTCAGAGTTGGCAGATCAAGGTGTATCTGCAGTGAAACGTTTCACGATTAAGAAAGAAGGCATTATTGTGAAAACCAACACGTATCTACTGACTTTTGACCGTTCATCTCTTCCAAAGTCTTTCAAAGCTGGTTATTTCAACATAGGAGTGGATGTGTATGTCCCCAGTCCACTCCGTTGTTATAAATGTCAACATTTCGGGCATGGCTCGCAATCCTGTCGAAACTCCTCAGTCTGCCATCGTTGTGGTGATCGACATGATGGATCTGACTGTGAGCAAGAATATAAGTGCGCCAACTGTAATGGTCCCCATTCTGCCTCAGTGGAATTGCAGAGGACTGAAGAATAACTTCAATGAAATACAATTACTCATACAAGATCTTCAACCGTCAGCATTGTGTCTCCAAGAGACATATCTTAAAAATACTGATAACTTTAACTTAAGACGGTATAGTGATTATCATTCTTTTTCCCTTCCAGGCGATAAAGCTACTGGAGGCGCTTCTATTTTGGTACATCGGAGCGTCATTCATAGCCCTGTCACTCTAAATACGGATCTTCAAGTTGTTGCTGTTCGTCTGACACTGCACATTGCGCTGACATTGTGCAGCTTGTATATACCTCCTTCTTCTAATATTCAAAAGTCCGATCTTCAAAATCTATTTGATCAACTTCCGAAGCCATGTCTCATCATGGGCGATCTTAACGGACACAACCCACTTTGGGGAAATGCTCATATTAATACCAAAGGTAAAATCCTTGAGGAATTCATTTCCGATAACAATTTATGTATTTTCAATGTCGACTCAGTCACTTATCTACATCCAGCTACGGGAACATATTCTTCCCTGGATTTATCGCTCACCGATTCAACCTTGTATAATGAATTCGAATGGATGGTCCATGATGATCGGTGTGGGAGTGATCACTTCCCTAACATTCTCAAAACAATCAGCCCTGATGCTGATCCACCTTTATCAAGAAGGAACTTCGGCAGGGCTGATTGGTCATTATATGAGACTCTGTGTGCTGAACACTTAACTCATGATCGTTTTAGGAACAGTGAAGATCTTATTCAGTCGTTTTCTGATATCCTTAATGGCATTGCTGACAGAACAATTCCTCAGTCCCCTGCAGTTCCACATATTTGTAAACCATGGTTCAATAACGAATGTAAACAGGCCAGAAAGTGTAGGAAGAAAGCAGAAAAATATTTCCGCCGACATCCTACTGTCCATAATTTAGATAAAGTTAAAATGTTAAATGCCAAGGCGCTTTTAAACAGAATAAGTGTCAGTCTTGGCGAAACTATGTTTCCAAAATAAATTCGCGCACACCGATGTCAAAGGTGTGGAACATGATACAAAGAATAAAGGGCAAAGGTTCCAAATCTGCCGTTCATCATTTAAAGGACGGTGATAATTTGTTAACTGATAAGGCTGACATTGCCAATAAGCTTGGTGAAACCCTCGCCAAACATTCGTCTTCATCCAATTATGTCCCTGAGTTTCAGAAACATCAGAAACAACAGGAGAAGAAAAGAATAAATTTTGTCTCAGACAATGGAGAAGACTACAATGAATTATTTTCAATGCAAGAGTTACCTACTGCCCTTGAGCAAGCTCATGATACAGCAACAGGGGCTGATAATATACACTATCAGCTCTTGAAACATTTACCTGAATCATGTTTGGAAACACTTCTAAATATTTTTGATACAATATGGACTTCAGGGAATTTCCCAACTTCGTGGCGTAAAGCCATAGTAGTCCCTATACCAAAGCCTGGCCGGGATCATACCGATCCGTCTAATTACAGACCAATCTCTTTAACGAGTTGCGTCTGTAAAACCATGGAACGAATGGTAAATAATAGATTAACATGGTATCTTGAAACCAATAATCTCATAACAAATATTCAATGTGGTTTCAGGAAAAATCGTAGTACCATTGATCATTTGGTACGTTTAGAATCCTTTGTCAAAAATGCAATAGTAAATAAACAGCATGCAGTATCGATATTCTTTGATCTTGAGAAAGCATACGATACCACCTGGAGCATGGCATTTTAAAGGATTTACATGATTTTGGTTTGAGGGGTCGTTTACCTTTTTATTTCACAGTTTTTAACAGACAGACAATTTCAAGTTCGAGTGGGTTCAACCCTGTCTGACCATTATAATCAGGATCAGGGTGTCCCCCAAGGAAGTATTTTGTCTGTCACTTTATTTAGCATTAAGATCAACAGCTTATCCAGGGTTTTAAATGATTCAATTGATGGATCACTTTTTGTGGATGATTTTAACATTTCTTGTCGCGGTAAGAATATGCATACTATTGAACGGCAACTACAGTTGTGTTTAAATAAAATAAATAAATGGTGTCTTGAAAACGGCTTTAAATTTTCTAAATCAAAAACTAATTGCATACATTTCTGCCGTAAATATAAACCACATAAAGACCCAGAACTGTTTTTAAATGGCACTCCCATCAAGGTGGTAAAAGAGGCCAAGTTCTTAGGTCTGATTTTTTACTCCCATTTAACTTTTCTTCCGCATATCAAATCCCTAAAAACTAAATGCCTGAGGGCACTTGATTTATTGAAAGTCGTTTCTAATTCAAAGTGGGGAGGGGACCAAACTACTCTCCTACACCTGTATAGATCATTGGTCCGTTCGAAACTTGATTATGGCTCCATCGTATATGGTGGAGCCTGCAAAAGCAACTTAAAATCATTAGATTCTGTCCCCCACCAAGGTATAAGACTTTGTCTTGGATCATTCAGAACATCTCCTGTTGACAGTCTCTACGTCGAGGCCGATGAGCCTTCTCTTGCACAACGCCGTATAAAATTATCATTACAATATATTACCAAACTATATTCTAACGAGTCTAATCCTGCATTTCACTGTATCTTTAAACCTCTTTATGAGGATTTGTACAACAAGAAATCTTCACTTGTTCCGCTTCTTGGGCTCAGAATTAAGCCATTCATTACTGCTGCCGGCATTGAGCTGGAAAATATATCTCCTTCCCGTCTTCTTTCTTCTTCTCCTTGGCAATTGGTGAGGCCACAAGTCGACCTAACACTCACTATATTTAAAAAATCAGAAACTAATGACTTACTATATAAACAAGAATATAATCAATTAAAAAGTAAATATAATACATATAAAGCCTTATTTACAGATGGGTCCAAGGATGGAGGCGCGGTTGCTTGTGCCACTGTCATTGGGTCCAAAATAATATCTTCCAGATTACCCAATGACAGTTCAATTTTCACAGCAGAAGCAAACGCAATACTAACAGCCCTTAAATATATAAATAGACACCCTAAATACAAACAATACATAATCTTTTCTGACTCTCTTTCTTGTCTTCAGGCGATTAAAAATATTTCTTGTAAACATCCACTTTTAATAGAAATTCTAGAATTATATAATGATCTTGCAACTGGCCAATACGACATCGTCCTCTGTTGGTTACCCAGGCACGTTGGCATTTCTGGGAATACAATGGCCGATCTTGCTGCCAAGGCAGCACTCAACAAATCTGTGACACCACTTCTTATTCCTTACTCTGATTCCAAAGCTAGCATTAGAACTTACATCCGTGATCTGATGCAGAAGAAGTGGGACACCCAAGTAGGTATAAATAAATTACATGAAATAAAACCCTATATCGGTTACACTTACTTGGGTTGTCAGTCCAGATATGAAGAGGTCATCATACGATGATGTCGTATTGGCCACACAAGACATACTCATGAATACCTATTGAAAGGTGAGGATCCTCCGTTTTGTATCCCTTGTGATGAAAAAATCACGGTCACGGTCAAGCATGTCCTATTTAAATCACGAACTATGAAGGATCTCTTTAATAGTATCAGTTCTCATTTATTTATTGCATTTTTAAAAGAATTAGATTTGTTAAATGATTTGTAAATACATAAATATTTTAAGATTGGAAGTTTGAATTAGTAACTGAGATTGTTAGTGGCTGTATCCTCGAGGGGGGTTAAAGTACTGTAAAATTATTGTCCTCCTGAGAGGGTATGTAAGTCCCAAAACATTCGAAGTAAATTAAAACGTTCCACTTTTTTAATCGTAGAATACCTGTTCTTTTAATGTATGGCTAGATTTGTCTAAATTGCTAACGGCTGAAGGGATGGTGTAAATCCAGCTAGGGCCCATGCAGGAAGCAAATGTACTGTAAGTCCCCATGGTCCCTATATGGTGATCTACCTTCAGTTGTTGGCAATCTATAGCCGGTTTTTATATTGTATTGTCGTTTAAAAGTAACATATTTTATATTTAATTACTAGTCTTAAATTTATCCCTGTGATAATCGAGTTGTTTTACTGTCGTTCGTCGACAGGTGTTTTATAATCTAATTGTGTTTATTGTTAATTTATAACTTTATAAGTCACAATATGGCTGAAATATTGCCGATGTGACTATAAATTTGAACTCACTCACTTACTGTTACATTTCATAAGCACTACAAGCTCGTTCCAAGTCATGATTGAATTTATCTTAAAGACTCCAACAAATTTATGTTCCTAACATACTAGTCATCCTTTAAAGATGTGAAAGTTTGCCCCAAAACCCCCAAAGAACTACATGTTGTCTTTCCTTATTTTTGTGTGCCTCAACACATTTCATAAATGAAGCTAACCAATTATTTTCGACGATTGATTGGTTGTAATGAACCAACCATCAATTATGAGATTTTAACCAATTCCCAACACTAGTTTCAATAAATACTAGTAAACTAAAGCGGAATAACCAGTCCCATTATAATACTAGTATAGAAGAATCTTAATTACTGGTGATGAATGTCACCACATTCACCTGATGTGACTTCTGAATTGTGTATTATCCCTGTTGATTTCTATAATCGGAAATAATCATTGTCCAGGATGAAACCACATGCCCCCTTCTCGACCCCCCATAACTTAATCCCCTTACTCCCTCTGAAGTTCAGCATTGAGCTTCAAGACACTGTAACGTTCGCGTAATCCATTGTTTACAGCCACAGGTAGTGGTCGTTCCGGTACGCACGAAACATTGTTACTCTTGTGGGAGATTGTTTGTGAAAAGATCCTGGCCAGTTTTGAAACGCACGTGCAATCTGTGCCAGCGTGAATTTGGTGGAGCACAATCATTTCAATTCAATTAATTGCATTGATTGAATGAACGAACTAAAGGAAATATAACGTAGGCACTAGAGCTATACTGTCATATGTATATGTTCAAAACGTCATACAGTGA